GCAATCTGAAACTCTTGAACCCAGATGCTATATGGCGAAGTTTTGTTGTATATAAACATGCTAACTATATAATTTTCGTAGGTCGGTATATGTGAAAAAATTGGTGCAGAGGATCATCGGAAAGAGTTTTTTTTAGTATATTGAAATAGTGCTATAATAATTTTATCAATTTTTGTTATTTCATTATTATTTTTTTTGGTTATCTAAAAAAAAGAATATAGTTATTAAATATTTGTTTATATAAACATAGATAAAAAAAATAAAAAACTTTTATTATTGATAAGAATTTAGAAACTGAAAGCACTATAAAATAGCAAATAGCAAAAGCCAGTTGCTTAAAATTTTGCTATCTGTATTTCAATGATTTCTTGGCTTTAGTTACCAAGAACAGAAAAATGAAAGTTCTTATTCTTTAACTAGTATATACTAATTATCTAAGCTATTTTTTTAAAAAAATAAAAAATATAAATACTAACTTTTTTAAAAATTGTTTGTAAAGAAAAGTTTGTGTTATTTTTGTTTACAAAAAATTATCTTAAAATAAATAAATCAAACTAGTTACATAAATAAAAATTATTTTTAGTTTGCTAAAAATAAATAAATAATTATGATTAACAATATATTATTATTTTAAAATTATTATTTTTTTTTTTTTTTTAATCTTTGGCAGCCTTGCCAGTCACCTTTATTAAGATTCTTGCATACACAACTTTGCATGAAGTTGGCTTAAATTTTGGCCCAACACCCCTCGGCTGCTTCTAAGAGTGCCCAAGAGTGGTCTGCCGCACCGGCTGGACAAAGATTAACAGCCAGGGGCGATACCAGATCTGCCAGTAAGGCCATACAATGGCCTCAAATTAAAAAAAAATTTATAAAAAGAACTATAATTGATCATCTGAGCTATGCTATAGCTGTGACCAACACTTGCAGTCAGGGCTAAACCTTTAACCGCTATGCTCTTGGTGACCTTTCTATTGGGTAAACTATATACTCTATCTAATTTACTTCTACAGAACCCTCCTAGTTGTAACCTTTTCTTTTTCTTTTTTCGATATTTCCATCCAAATACTTCTTTGCTTCGTCTTTTCCTTTTCTTCTTTGTTCTTTCTAATCTTCCCTTTTCTTTTATCTTCTCTTGATCTTTGGTTTTTTGATTGACATCTATTTTCTTCTGTCTCTAGCGAAGAGTGTTCTTCCATAATGATCTTTTTCTTATTACTTTTTTGTTTTCTGTTGATCGTTCTTATTCCTTTTGTTCTTTAGGTTTTGCTTTTACTTGCAATAAGCCAAACTCTTGAGGTTTCTTTATCAGAATCTTTAGATTACTTCTTTCTAGTTTCTCTTTTCCTGTTTGCAACTTATCTATGTACTTCTTCTTTTGCATCTACCAATCTGCATTAACGATTTTCTTTTTTCTTTTTTTCCATGCCTCTTCAGCTTCTTGATCAAATAGCCTTTTATTATTTTTCTTGCACATTCTTTCACTTGTAACCTTTTCTGTCTTGTTCTTGAACCTCAAGATAGCTATTTCCTCGATGTTCTTCCAGCTAATTTTCGGTCTTGATTCTTCTTTCAGCTCTTCTAGCACTTTCCACATTTTTTGTCTACTTTTATCTATAATCTGTTTCGTCATAATTTCTTTCTTCATCATTTGATGCATTGATTGCTGTGCTTGAGCTCTTCTTTTTTCCTTTTTCTCCTTTCGAAGCCTGGCTTTTTCTTTTGTTAATGCATTTTGAAATTTTGCAACAATTTCTTTCTTTATTGCATTTACATGGTGTTTTTGCTTTAGAGCACATATTTCTGTCATTCTGTTACTCCAACCTACTTCAAGTCTTTTTTCAAATTTTAATGTTGACATACTTATTGGCCCATACTGTACTTCGATTGAGTTTTTCATTTTACTTAGTGCATCATTTGCCTCTAATTCTACACATAAATTATGCATCTTCTTGAGTCTATCTAGTTCTTGTGTTGTTAAAATTCTACCGAAATACTTGCTAATTAATGAAAAATCTTTTGCTTGGATGGATGTCACTGCTATAGGTTCTGTTTTCTTTTTGTTTTTGTCTACCCTTTCATATTCTTCTACTTGTCTAATTTCTTCTACTTTTTTCTTTTTCTTCTTTTTATTTCTCCTTTCTGCTGCTTGCTTTTGTCGTTCCATTTCACTTTTTCTAGAACTTTCTTTGTTTATCTAGATCTGTTTTTCAGATTGGTCATCTATTCTATCACGTGTACCTGTTTGTTTACTTTGTTTTGATTTTTCTGCTTTGTGTAACCAAACTGATCTGCAGAAACAAGGTAATGACAATCCCCACTTTTTACAAAATTTTTGCAAAAATTTCGATGAAAATTTCTGTTTTTCTACTGTTGTTTGTTGACAGTGCACTTTTTCCAAGTTTTTTCCTTTTTGTTTTTTTAACAACTAAATGTAACATTTAGAGCTCTTTAACTTTTCTTAGAGCTCCAAATATTGTTTCCTAGTATCAGTTTTCGTATTTCTTGTGGTTTGCTTCTTGGAAATTTTGGTCAAGGGATCTGCAGGAGAGAGTGTTTTTGTATTATATTTGTATTGCAGTTAGTTTTTTGATCTTTTTTTAATAGTTGTTTTATTGTTTTTTTTATTCTAACTGTCTTTGTAGCTTTAATGCATATTCTTTTTAGTTTTCTTGCTTTGTTTTTTCATATAAATATATTGTTTTTACTTAATTTTTATATTTGGTTTCTAATTTGCTATTATTTGCTATTACATGTTCTAATTATATTTTTTTAGTTACTATTTTGTAATCACTATTAATTAGTCTTTTTGTGTTATATAGGCCTAAAATAAGTATTTTTGATATTTATTTTTATTGTAATATCTTTGTTTAATTATATAAATACTTCTATTGTTAAATATAGACTTTTGTATAAATTTGTAAATTCTTGCTTCTTAAGCTAATTAAATATGAGTAGTCTTTTATAACCTGTTGTTTATGCATGTTGTTTATCTAATATCTTGTTCACTATATAATTAAAGTCTTTAAATATGATTATTTGTATATTTTTCTTCTTTTTAAATATTAGTTTTATAACTTTTTATTATATATTCTTACTAATAAGTTTGTTATTTAGTGGTATATATAATTCTACTACTATATAAGAGATATAGTGACTTAGTGAAGTGAATAGGTTGTTAACCTCCAAGTGGCAGGTCTAAGGTTCAATTCTCACAGATGACAAATTTTGAAAATTATATCTGTATTACAATAACTATCTCTTATTAATCAGTTGGGTTTATACATCTGTAATTTTAAGTATATTAAGTTAAGGCCCATCTAATTTTAGAAGCTTGAGATATCTATGTAAAGTGTAACATTACACATATATAGAGGAATATAAAAACTGATATTACATAAGGCTTTGATGCAAATCTATGATAAGACCACTAGGTAAAAAACTAAGAAACTGAAAAATTAGAAGCTCATTTGAAAATCCTAAGTAAAGAGATAGCACAAACTTTCAATAGTGCTATTGAATTGATAAAAGCCTATGAAACATCTTAATAGAAATTGTTAGATGAACTTGATAACAAGATGTATAAAGAAGCATATAACCAACTAGGTTGCTAGAATTATTAAAGAAAAAGAATACATAAGTATATCATATTAGACCATCTGAATTGAAAGTTTAAAAAGGTTGTCAGTTCTGAGTTGTGGCTAGTAGAGAATAATAGAAAAGATATCAAAAAAATAAATACTAAGATTAAATAAACTTTACAAAAATAATAGCAATTTAATAAATAATCTTGACTATAAGTATTGGTTTTAACTATAATAAAAAATTCAAGTTAGTAATAAATAGAAAATATATAGCTTGCTCTAATAGGTTTACCTCAAGGATAAAATTGTCTTAAGGTTGAGACAAGGATCTAGATACAAGTAACTTAGTAAAGTTAATACAAGGATTTCAGATCAAAAAGTTTAAATGAAACACCTAAGCAGGAGTGTTAGGTATAGCAACTAGTAGAGAACCTTCAGATGGACTTCTTAAATAGGTAATATAGAAAAGTTACATGTGTAGTCAGTTATACACTTATTATAATATTTAACAAAAGTATTAATAAAGTTAAAAGCCAAAGAGAGTCACCTTTAAAATCAAAAAAAATTTTACTACTATTAGCTTCAATTGTTTAAAATATATCCATACTTCTATTATATATTTATTATATCTTTTTATAGCTCTTACATGTTTTTCTTATTTTTTATTTATTAGTATTTTTATTTTAAATCTTTTTTTTTGTTTTGTATTGCATTAGTTTAAAATCTTTTGTATTATATACTAAAACTATATACTAGAAACTTCTTTTCTCTTTCTACTATATTCATTTTTATTATATCTAGAATTGGTATTTTTTTTTCTATTCATTCTGTCAAATTTCCTAGTTTTTAACTTTTAGTTTTAAGTCTGTTAATATTGTAACAAGCTATTTTAAACTCTTTTATGTCTTTTTGTTACCACTTCTCTTGGAGTTAATTATTTTTTGTTATTATTTTATCTTTTTTTTTTTTTTTACTTATTGTTTTTAGATAAAAAGGTTGCTTTAATTTTCTTCTTTAAAATGCTTCTTTTTTGTTTTGCAAAAATTCTATAATCTTCTTATTTATGTTTGTAGTTTTATTTACAACAATTTTCAGAAGTACTAAACAAACTGAGTTTGCCTCTTACTTATTTTTTCTAACTTTTTTAATATATCTTACAGAATGTTTTGATGTTGTTTTATTTTTTTTTTACACTTCTCTTACATCTTTATTGTCTTCTTTATTAGCTTTTTTAAACTTATTTTTTATAACTTTTGTTCTTTTTTCTTAGTCTTGTTTCTATTTAGTATTTGGAATTCTTTGTTATTTACTTTTTCTTTTCTTTGCTTTTGTGTCTTGTATATAGTTTTACTTAATTTTTTTGAATTTGTTTCTTCTGAACTAGTTTTTTCTTTTAACTTTTAGTATAATATATAATTATAGTATATTATTGGTTTGCTATTGGCTTTTTTAAGACCTATATTATTTGTAAAGATAATTGTTACTATACTTCTTAAATTTCTATTTTTGTTTGAAAGAATATGTATTATCTTAGTTTTTTTGTTTTTTAGACATTTTAGTAACAAAACCTTTGAAACTTCTTTTGCTAAACCTATTAGTTTAGTAATGTATTATTCTTAATTATACTTTTGTATATAGTTTTTGTAATTCTATATTACTTATACTAAGTTATTATTATCAAATAGTAATAATTATAATTAGCAGAAAATATAAGTAAAATATTGTGAAAGATTTTTTATATCAAAAAATTTTTAAAATAATTATAATTAATATTAAATTCTTTTAAAATTTTGTGATTTTATAAAATAATTAAAAAATTTTGTAACATTGCAAAATAATCAAAAAAATTTCATAATATTATCAAATAATTAGAAAATTTTTGCAATAATGCAAAATAATTGGAAAATTTTTGCAATATGAAAAATTAAAAAATTTGTAATAATGTAAAATAATTAGAAAAATTTTACAATAATATGAAATAATTAAAAAAATTTTACAATATTAAGAAAAATTTTATTATAATATGAAATAATTAAAAAATTTTATAACTATTTATTAATTTATTTATTTTTTAATTACTATTTATTTATTTTTTTTTTTTGGTATTAAGGTAATCTCTTTGGTCTTTTGACTTTTATTAATCACTTATTGATATTGTGGTTCAATGAACCACTACAGAAGAGCATACAATTGGCTACATGTGTAACTTTTCTATATTACCTATTTAAGGAGTTCACCTAAAGGTTCCCTACTAATTGCTATATCTAACATTTCTGTTTGGATGTTCCATTTTAAACCCTCTGAATCTGTAATCTATGTTAACATTACTGGTCATCTCAGATGTCCAGATCATTGTCCTCAACCTTAGGACTAATTTATCTTCGAGGTAAACCCCCTAGAGCCTTCTGTACTTATTTTTATAGCTGATCTAGGTATCACTATAGCAGAACTAATACTTGCGGTCAGGGCTAACTATTAAACTGCTATGCCTTTGTAGAGTTCACTTAGACTTCAGCATTTACTTCACAGCATAACTCCAGTACTTTAGTATATCCTTGCCTTTTGTTCAGCCTTTTTATTAAACTCCCAATCCAGATAGCCTATGTAGGACTATAACTAGTCCATCAGTATATTGGATTAGCCCAATATCCTTTTCCTTCAGTTCATTTCAGCAGCCTGATTGGTAGTACCTTCAAGTCTTCCAATTCAGAGTTTCTTGTTTGTCTGGCTACTATGACCAGATACTACAATCTTGGTATCTGTTTTTTCAGGCTAGCCTTTACAGTAGAGCCATTAAAGATCCAACTATCTCTCTACTTGGGTCTTTTTAAATGGACTTCTTGTTACCTAATTTCAATGGATTTACACAGCCACAAGGACTTATCTAGTGTTTGCACTGCCTGATTTGTCAGTTTGCATTCATCTGTATAATGCTATACTTACACAGATGCCTCATAACCTGCCAGTCATGCTGATGTGACTGCCATTACAGATATCCTAACTCAATCATTAGTAATAGTTGCTGTAATATGAATATTATATATATAATTATTCAAATTTTCACTGTCAATAAGATTTGAATATCCAATCTACTATTTGAGGGGTTGACAATCTGACCACTTCACTAGATCGCCACACCTCTAATTACTATTTATTTAATATAATATTTATTCAATTTTTATTAAATAATAATTATATAATAAAGAAACTATACTATATTAATAAACAAAACTAAAATATTAAGTATAGTTATTTTATTAGCATTTTTAACTCAAAATTCTGATTTCTATTAATCTTTTCTGATAAAACATAAGACTTATAAAAAAAAAAGCAAAAATTATTAACAATACAAAAAAAAAAAAATAAAAAATAAAAAAAAGTAAACTAGTACTAGTTTAAGTTCAAGATCCTGATTCTAGTTTTTATTAACTTTTTATAGTAAAGTACAAGATATAAAAATAAGAAAATAAGAATTAGTAATAATACAAAAAAAATAAAAAAATAAAAAAAATAAACTGATATTTATTTTTGTACTTATTTTAGGTTCAAGATTCTAATCTAATCTCTATTCTAACTCTTTTTAGCAAAGCACAAAATCTAAAAAAAAGCAAAAATTAGTAATAATATAAAAAAAATAAAAAAATAAAAAAAAATAAACTAGTACTTATTTTTGTATCAGTTTTGTATTTAAGATTTTGATTCTAGTCTTCATTAACTCTTTTTGGTAAAGCACAAGACCTAAAAAAAATAAAAAAATAGAAAAAAAATGAGCTAATATTTATTTTTATATTTGTTTTATATTTAAGATCTCAATTCTGACTCTCATTAACTCTTTTTGGCAAAGTACAAAATATAAAAAAAAAGCAAAAATTAGTAATAAACAAAAAAAATAAAAAAATAAAAAATAAACTGATACTTATCTTTGTATTATTTTCAGTTTAAGATTCTGATTTTAGTTCTTATTAACTTTTTTTGACAAAACACTAAAAGAAAAAGAAAGCAAAAATTAACAACAATACAAAAAATAAAAAAATAAAAAAAAGTTAACTAGTACTTATTTTTGTACTAATTCTAGGTTTAAGATTCTAATTCTAACCTCTATTAACTCTTCTTAGCAAAACATAAGACCTAAATAAAAAAAAATAATAATTAGTAATAACACAAAAAAAAAAAAAAAAGTAAACTAGTACTTATTTTTGTATCAGTTTTAGATTCAAGATTTTGATCCTAATCTTTATTAATTCTTCTTAGTAAAATACAAATCTAAAAAAAAAAATAAAAATTAGTAACAATATAAAAAAAAACAAAAAAAAGTAAACTGATACTTATTTTTGTATTAGTTCTAGATTTAAGATTCTAATCTCAACCCTTATTAATCTTTTTTAATAAAGCATAAAATCTAAAGAAAAAAAACCAATTAAAAAAGCAAAATAATACTTATTATTATATCAGTTTTAGATTTAAAATTCTAATTCTAACTTCTATTAACTTTTCTTGACAAAGTACAAGATCTAAAAAAAGAAAACAAGAATTAATAACAATATAAAAAAAAACAAAAAACAAAAAAAATAAATAGTACTTATTTTTGTACTAGTTTCAAGTTTAAAATTCTAATTTTAGTCTTATTAATTCTTTTTGACAAAACACAAAACTACAAAAAAAAAACATTAATAATATCAAAAAAAAATAAATAAAATAAAATTTAACTGATACTTATTTTAGTACCAGTTTTAGATTCAAAAGATATTAATAATAATAAAAAAAATAAACTAGCTGATAAAAACATAAAAAAGAAAAAAATAATAATAAATAAAAAATTTAAAGATTAAAAAAAATAAAATAAATAAAAATTAAAAGATCAAAATTAAAAAAAAAATATTCAAAAAATGAAATTAAAAAGCACTTAGTATGGCTGCAATATAGATTATAAAAGGTTAATAAAATTTTATAAGTATGAAATATTTCAAAAGATTTTATATAATACAATAATTTTAAAATATTTTTCAAAATATTTCAAAATATATTTTAAAATATTTTGCATTTAGTAAATATTTTGAAATTTATTTTACAATATTTTAAAATTATTATACTATACAAAATCTTTTGAAATATTTCATATCTATAAATTTGCTAATGATAAACCTTTTTTTTAAAAAAAAATAAATTGTATTATTGCTAATGTCTTGAATTTTGTTCTCTTAATTTTAACTATTTGTATATTTTTTATATTTCTACAAATATATTTAATTTTATCTTCTTTTATATTTGTTGTTAAGTTTCAAATCATTAAAAATTTGTTAGTCTTTTCTTCTTCTATATCCTTCTTCTTTCTCTTTTCTTTAAGTATTTTTGTTAAGATTTTTTTCTTTTTAGTTTTTATATAATGTTTTTATTCTTGTATATTGCTTTATTATTGTTTTTTTTTTAATGGGCTGTATCTTAATTATATTTTTCTTTTAGAGTTTTTTATAGAGTTTTTTACTGTTGTTGAAATTAAAATCTAATTTTATCTATTTATTTTTTCTTACTAATTTTTTTTGGTTAATTTTATATATTTGTTTTTTTAACAAACTTTTTATATATTGTAGTTTTTCTTAAATTGTTTTTTTTAAATTGCAGACTGGAATTTCTGTTCTATAAGAGCTATTGTTGTTATATTTCTTATTCACTAAGGCCTATATATTTTGTTTTAAGAAACTTTTTATTTTTTTTATATTATGATTGTTTATTTATCTTTTCTTTTTGTATTTTTTTTGGTTTTTATTTTTTAGTATTGTTGTTTAAGTTTTTATTTTTTTATTTTTCTTTTTTTGTTTCTTCTTTTAAATACTGTCTTTTTTTTTTTACTGTTTTCAACTTTTATATCTCTATTATTTACTATAATTTCTATTCTTTGCATTTTGTTTTTTCTTTAACATTCTTTTTTGTTTTTATATTTAGTATAAACTTAATTAATTTTAGATTTAAATTTATGTTTCTAATTTTTTAATACATTCTTCAATATTTTTATTTTATAGTCTTGTATTGTTTGTTTTTTTAAGAATTAATATTATTTGACTATACAAAAATAAATTATATACTATGATTCTGTTTACATCTTTTATGACTAAGCTCTTTGTTGTCTGTATACTTTATTACTTTTATTTTATAATTACTAATATATCTAAGTAAACTCTATATTTGTATAATTTCTATATGTCTCAGATCTTTTTTTAGACTATTCTGTATATTCAATTCTATTTATCTGTTTTTTTTATTTATTTGTTATATATATTATTTATTTTTAAATTTGTATATGTTGTGTTTGTTTAATTATTGTTTATTCAGATGATTTACCATGTTGTTGTCTTATTTTTTTTAGAATTAACAGTGATTTCTTAAAATTTTTTAATTTTTCAAAAATTTCTTTATTTTTATAACAAAAATTGTTGCTATGTTTCTTACTTTTCTTTACTTGCTATAACTTTATGTTCTACTAGTGTATTTTAATTGTTTGCTTCTTTTTGTTTAGTTCTTTGTATGTTTTCTATGCTGTTTATTATGCTATTTACAATTTTGTATTTTATTTAAATTTATAAAAAAGAATCAATAAAAAGAGTTAATTGTTATAGTTTAATATATATTAAAAATATTTCAAAATAATAAAACTAATTTTTTTTATAAATTATTATGTTTACTATTTTTTTATATTTTTTAATTTTCATTTTTTTTATATTATTTTTTTAACCAATTTTTTTATAAATTAAATACAGATATTTTTAATACTATTTTGTTTTTTTGTTAAAAACTTATTTATACAATTTGGTTTATTTTTATTTTATAAATATATAGAATAAAATAATTTGAATCAGAATTGTTTATGTGAATATCGTAATATTGCTAATGCTATTTTTGCTACTACCAAATCCAGTAACTCTGTCTAAAATATATCTGAGTAAAAACCGGAATATTACTTATCTAATTAGCACTAGAAATAGGCTGTTTTATTATATTTAAAAATGTTAAAGTAAAATTGCATCACTGGCATTTTTCGTTAATGCACCAAGATAGGTTTAGACTACCATCTTCTAGACCGGAGTAAAATCGTCATCCAAAAGTTCGAACATCACGTGACAAATACATCGAACACTAAAAAATCATAAAAAAATCCACCAAAAAAAAATTTTAGACTAACAAAGTTAATCATTTTATTACTTCAAATAACTCAATAAACGTAATATTTATTATAGCCAGAAAGTATTATAATTACGATTTTTCTAAGTATTTGGAATATTTCATTGCCTTTTAAATTGATTATAATCCTTCAATTTATGCAACGGCACTAAGTTTTTATTAATACTATCAAGCCATTTGTTGCTACTTGATTTTTCAATAATTTTTTGTTGCTGTATCCTGGATTCAAAATAAATAATCAGTTATAATATTACGAAAGAGCATTAAAAATAAAATCTACAAGATTTTCTGGTTCATTTACATTTTCTTGATTAGTTTTTATAATTTTCGTTTCTTTTCGTTTATTGTTAACGAAAATTTGGTTATGGCAATCAACATATATTTTTAGAATAGTGTTTATTGGATTTTATGTTTTAACGACTTTAAAGAATCGAAGAAAAAAATCACTTGCTAAATCAATTATGTTAATATTTTAATAAATATTATAATGATCTAGTCATAATGAATTGACAATAAAAACATGATTTTCGAAACTTTTTTGGGTGGCGATTTTACCCCGTTCATCTTCATGTTTTTTTTTACTGTCCAGAATGATCTTCATGATCTGCATAATTCTGCATAACGTTGGCCGTTTGTTGACAACCTTTCTCTTACGAATCAATTGTTTTCCTGATTTATAAAACAACGTATTATTAAACGTTATCTTTAAAAAAATTTTTTTAATAACACACCTCAAAAATACGTACGAAAATTAAGAAGAACGGAGTGAAGGTATAAGTTGGCATAATCATAGAGTTATAAATTATTTATGCTACAATCCAATATATTCTAAAATATTTAAGAATCCAAACATTAGAAGACGAAAATCGAACGCTAAAGATGTGAAGTTACTGGAAGTAAAATACACGCCATGAAGTTAGTAGAAGTAATCAAGAAAATATACGCGACGTGGAGAAACAACTCGAAGCAAAATTTTGAATGCAAACGACGCGAAGAAACTCTAGGAATAAATGTTAAAGCACACGCGATATATAGAAACTACTGAGAGTAAGTATTAATTAATATTGATGTGCTTCGCAACTAATACTGTTTTTAGCAGTTTTGAGGTCTACTGGTCCTGGATAGGGGGTCGGTTACGTGCCTTCCTCAAACTGTTTAAAAATGGTATTATATATTGAATGCTTTCGATCGCACACCTAACACTTCCGGCGTATCTCGTATATGCAAGTATATGAAACATCGGAACTGTTATGAACTCCGTAATATTTTAATGTATTTCTACGAATCGTGAAATTATTAGAATGTTACGAAAAGGGTTCACATGGGCATGTTAATTTGTTAGGCACGTACAATATGTTTTCGTTTAACAAGTTAAAAGTTGCCGTGGGTCCGTACCATTTTTTGATATTATTTCTACGAATCGTGAAATTTTATCAATATGTTACGAAGGCTAGCATTTTCGGATTTGCTACACGAATCGTTGAACAAACCAAAAGTGCTTAGCAATATTCTCCGATCTATTTCTACGAATCGTGAAATTAATCGGAAATATTCTGCATCGGAAGTATGAAATATAGTTATATAAAGTATTGAAAACCCTTTATATTTCTGTTGCATTCACTGAGTTAATTGGTCTTATTTAGTTATTTTTTACTAATTTTCTTTTCTTTTTTTTTTTATACAGTATTTCAAGGTTTACGAAATCGACAAGCCTATCGTACCAAGGCCTTAATTTCCACATATCTACGAATGGATTATTATAACGACCTTATGATGAATAATTAAACATAGGTGATTATGAAACATATGATTATTATTCTTTTCTTTTACAATTTAATTATGAGAGGTTAATTTTTTTATTGTATTAGTATATTTACCTATTATTTAATTGGGTTTTTTTTTGACAATTATCTAGCATTACTCGAAGAAGGCGTTAACCACTCAGGATATTTAATAGGTCTCATGAAGGCATTCTATTTATAATTTTCAATTAACGTAACTAATTATTATATAATTATCTGTTTAAAAAAAAATTTTTTTTTATCGTTATTGTATAATTAAAAAATTCAATTAAAAAATTTTTTTGCGCACACATTATTGACTCACTAACCCATTTGTTATTGAAATCACTTAACCCATTTGCAGTTAAAATCATGAATCGCTCGCTATTAAATATACCCATTTCGCTTTACAATGATGAAATCAGTTCAAGGCAATTTGATTAGACGATCACGGGATTGCTACGGTCATAAAATAACGATAACGTTTATTCAGGGACGAGAAATAAATTTTTATTACGAGAGCATCAGTTATTCTTTCAGTTACCAAAGACTATCACATGATGAATACCCGAGATTTTATTCTTAAGAAGTAAGTTTTTTAATTAGCTCCCTCCATTAATGCGCATTCACGTGATTTTGCTCCGCTGTTTGACCAAAATTTGCAATAATATATTGCAGTTAGAATATTCATTATAATTGGATTCTTCATGGTATACTTATATTTTTATTTATAATCAGTGTCGGCGAATAGAACAATATAACAAAAGCACGATTTGTTGTCTTTATATAAAAAAAATTTTTATTAATAATTTATAATTATAATATTTAAATATAGATTATTGCGTTAGTAAAGTAATAAATTTAAACTTAATTAATAAAGTTTAATACTGAAATTTACAATAGAAAAATAAAAAAAAAAGTGAATGAAATTATGCGCAAATAGAAACATCATACGTAGTAAAATGCCAACCCTGTTTATAATATATCACAGAGAGCAGAAAATCAACTATCATTTTTACACAATTAAGTATAAGTGTGGGAAAGTAGAATGTAAAATAGGATGCAATGACAAAAAAAAAAATATTGGCGTTACAATATATCATACGGATTTGTTTATTAATAGATCCTAATTAGGATTTTAAACCGATTGGGATAAATTTTCCGGATCACATGATGATTGATTGCACGAAAAAAAAATATACCTAGCATTAGAGTAATTTTTCTACATCTATATTATTTGCTAATCCCAAATCTTTAACATTAATCCAAATGCTAAACAACTTCAGATAAACAAACGGAACACAATTATTCAAAACACAAAGCTAAGCTCTATATATTTGACGTGTATTAGGGAAGACCTTCGAAATCATATGTTACGTAATGATTTTTACATACAATTAACGTTAATTGGATTTGTATGTATTCTAACGTTTAATTACAATTACTAATTCTAATAAAAAATAGTTTTTTCCGGAAGATTTTCATAGATGCGATTTTGATTGGATGATCAACTTGTAGTTAGTTTAAAATATCGTGATTGAAAATTAAATATACGCAGTCCTCCTTTTACCTTTTGAAAACTTACATTATGTCAAACATTCTTACTGTAGGTGCAATTCAGGATATATTTGACCCAAATATTAGGAACCCAGAGAAACCGGTGCTTCAGATTGCAAAAGTCATTCAGAGCGACTACTCTCACCCGCGTCCCCAAAGAGTTAAAGTGGCTTTCAACGATGGGTGTGAACTTACACAGGGTATTATTCCTGTTAATTTGGTAGAAAGAGTAAGCGGTGATATAAAAAAAGGTCAATTACTCAGGTTGACTCATTACAATTGTATTATTAAGAATAGTTTAGAAAGTCAAGAAACTCTGAAGATAATAATCGTTATTAACTATGAAATGGCCAATAGCGGGTTATATCAAATCTTTAGTAATTTGTCTCGAGTTAAAACAACTAAACGTACGTCACCTCATAATAAATCCTTGCAACACTCAATTACTTCCGGACCTAGTTACACCATAGGTGAAGAGTTCTTCCCCATAAATGCACTTAGCCCGTATTTTAATTCATGGAAGATTGAAGCAATTGTCGGTACTAAGACTGATATAAAACCTTGGCAAAGTGACCATGGAAGCGGAAAATGGTTCGCTGTAGTTCTTTTTGATAGTAGCGGTGAAATTCGAGCAACGGCTTTCGAAGATGCTGACAATTTTTATAATCAACTACAAATAGGAAAATTATACTCAATTTCCAAAGCAAAAATTAGAATGGCCAACAAAAAATATTCGACAGTTAAAAATGATTACGAACTTATTTTGGGGAGAGAAACCATAATCACAGAGGTCCTTAATAAGGATTCTCACGGCTTTATTCCGTTCAATTTCGTTAAAATCGTTGATTTAATTGAATATGAAAAGAATGACATTATTGATGTTATAGGCATCGTTATTAAAGTTAGTGATATTCAAGAAATAACGACTAGAACAACCCGGAAAAATGTAAACAAACGTTGCATTACTATTGTTGATCAAAGTAAATATCAAATTACTTTAAGCTTGTGGGGCCTACAAGCTGAAAAATTTAATAGTTCTATCTTAAACCATATCATCGCGTGCAAGAATGTGCGTGTTGTAGAGTTTCAAGGACGGAATCTTTCAGCAATCTTTGATAGTACAATAATCATTGATCCAAATATTCAAGAAACGAATGAATTACGTGATTGGTATAATTCTCACGGAACACATTCAAAATTTACCTCTTTGAACACGTCAAGTTCTACAGTGCAATACGTAGATGACATCAAAACATTGGATCAGATCAAATACGAAAAGCTTGGTCAAGGGAATAATTTGGATTACTTTTCAACATTGGTAACCGTTCTGAACATTAAAAAAGGCAACATTTTATACCCAGCTTGCCCTACGTGCAGTAAAAAAGTTATTGAAGATGTCAGTGAATGGCATTGTGCGAAATGTTCGCGATCTTATCCTAAACCCGAATATAGATACATAATAGCGGCTGTTGTTGCAGACTTTACTGGCGACGTGATATTGAGATTCTTTAATGACTCTGCATTAAGTATTATGAATTGTGAAGCCAAAGAACTTGTCCGACTGGAGGCTGAGGATAGAGATAATTATGATGCAACCCTTGAAAAAGCGTGCTTTAAACCTTATATTATCAAATGTCGAGCAAAAACCGAAACTTATGAAGGACGAAGTATAATTCGATACTCCGCAATGTCAGTAATTAAAATTGATTACGCTCGTCGTGCAAAGAGACTACACCAATTAATCAACGAGATGGAGGATAGTTTTTTGTCATAAACTTTAATTCACATCAATCGTTTTCTTGGGACAAGGCTATCTAAAAGTTGTAGATTGGTTCTCGAACTTTTTTTTAAAAAGACCTTTTAATTTTATTTTCTTTTTATTTAAAGTTTATCAAAACCCGATCAGGTTGGGTTATGAGAACCAATACATAAATTTCATATTTATCATGTGATAAAAATTTATATACATATCAGATATTGTAATTTATTATTATTAGTAGAAATAATTTTGATTATCAAATTTTGGAAAGCTTTAAATTAAAAGTGTTAATGATTGTTCGTCTTAGATAGCGTTCGTCACCGTTAGTAAATACGTCACTCTGGTTATGTCGACACCTCAAAAAAATAAAGAAATTGTCTGGTATATCCAGAGACATTTTCATATTACTGTATTAAGTATATAGGTTCAAAATTTTAAAGTGTCGTTATAGCCAGATGTCAGAATATCCAGATGTGTATAATGATAACAATAAAGCAGAGTAAAACATAACATATGACATTAAAAAGCAAATTTCCTATTTATTTTTTAAACCACGTTTATTCATACATTACTTTGAATTCATGGAATCATGAAGTCAAGTCCTCAAATTATTTTTAAGCATAAAAGATGTTTCAATGTGATGTAAATCAAAAGTATTAATTTAAAAACCCTAACACTTCATATTTTCTACAAATAACTTCTCGACCGTCAAACGCAAACGACATTCCGTCAATCAGATGCTAAATAAATAAATAAATAAATAATAAATAAATTGATAGATAAATAAAAATAAATAAAAAAAATAGCCAGAAAACTTACCTGACCAGCTTTACCGATTCTCTCTTGATTATCATGCCAGGCTTTGGCGATATATAATTCTTTACCATCCTTTTAAATAATAAAAGGTTAGAAAAAAAGCCATTAAAATATTAAATAATACAACAATAATATTGGAATAAATACCGCTTCATAGCCACCTTTCAGAGGGATGAAGAATTGTGGTCGACAGGCTCCCTCACTAAATTCAGAATTGATTATTTTAGAATCGCATTTGTGATTGTTTGAATTACCAGCTAGCACATATGCAAAGAAAATTTACCAAGAATGCCATTTAAATTGATTATGTTCACCACACAAAACTTCGAATTCATGTAATTCATGTTGACGTGAACCCCAACCAATAATTAATCGATGATGATGTTGATCAACATAGCCAATGTGCATGCCACCCTCAAATCTTCCACGACCAATAGCATGATTGCCTACTTGAAAAGCACCATGAGGGAGACATCCTTCATATTTAATCCATTTAGCGGCCTGTTTTAACGTTAAGAAGAAAGCATAGTGATAGTTAATATTTGCAATATTGTATCACAATTATTCTTCAAAGGAATCAAAGGACGTACCCAATGTTCTTGTGCAACTGCCATGATAAATTTATAAATTTATTATAATTCACAAGAAAAACAGCAAAGTTGTAAGGAATAAATTTGGAAAAAGAGAAGTTTAAAGGTTTGACATCGAAAAAAAACAACCCTTTATATAATGTGTGGAAATGAATTATCGTGAGAAGTGTCATGCACCTTATTAAGGCAGGGGGATGTATACCAATAATAAGCGTAAATCTACACGTATACGTATAAAACTGATTAAAAATATTCTATATAGATAATTATTTATATATAATGTTAACTAAAAAAATGATTATTCTAAACCTTTTTGTTCTTAATCATACGATTTTACTGCCAAAGATATCTATTTCCTGCTTCGCTTTCACAGCGATAATAGTTAAACCTAAGTCTAAAATTAGTAAAAATCATTACAGCATAATTTCTTGGCGTAATAATCCGAATGTCTGCAACACATGAAAACAAGTTGTTCTAGAACATCGTAAAAGTTATGAGTTAAAATTATATTCTATGTAGAAAACAATATATAATCTTTAATAATTTCCTAATTCGTCGTAGCCAAAAATTTCCATTACGTACTTAATTTTTATTTGAAACAAGCAATTATCAGGTTATGCATACTGTATACGTACATACGTAGGATGTTGGCATTACGTAGGAGTACGTAGGAGTACGTAGAAGTACGTATGTACGTACGTATCAGACACCCGATTTGTCACGCAGGTCACAGGGGTAAATTTTTTTACTATCACTGAGTAATCGACATGCATATGATGGGCTCATTTTTTATAGTAAATTGCAGTTTTAGAAAAGATACAAACTATAATTACAAGATACGAGTTTTTAATTTAAACAAAACTTGTTAGGGTTTAGAAATCTTGTTATTAGAAAGAATTTTAAACTATTTGAACTTGAATTACTGCTAGTTTGGTGGTTAAAATATAATGAGATAAAACTAAATCTATTACTAAAAAAAAATAATTTATTAAAATTTGAACAAGTTAAATTAGATTTTATTATAATACTGTCAGTTTAGTATTTTAAAAAAACATTTATTATATTAAATATTATTATGTTGAATTAGTTAAATCATAAAAATGAAAATGGTAATCTTAATGTAGAGGTTAAGTTGTCATTTTTCAAGTAGTAGATTTAGAGTTCAAATCTCATTGATGATAAAATTTTGAAAAATGGTTCTATTCTGGCAATTTGATTAGAGTATTTGGGGTTGTAATTTTGTAATTTTGGTTGTACTAAAATTAACTTTAAGAACATATAATATTATACAAATAAATCTAAAAAGTATATACTTTATAAGACATTTTGTTTAAAAATCCTGAATAGAGAGACAGTATGAGTTTTGATGATATTATTTATAAAAATCTTGATTTAAAAACAGAAACTTGGAGCAGGTAATCTGTATAGACAAAAAAACTTTAGATAAAGAGATTTATCAATCTGGTTATTAGTTAAACCAGATATGAAATCATATTATATAGAGTTAACTAAATTGATAATATTGTTACAAAGTAGATTTTAGCATAGTATATTATATAGTAGTATTGGTCATCTTATTAAGTGTGATACACCAACTTGATACATTTAAATTAAAATGTAATTATACAAAATTTTACATATTAACTTACAATTAAATAAATATATTTAATATTTAAAGATTTATAGAATATATTTATAAAAAAAAATTAGATTAATTTTTGATTACATATTGTTTAAAAAAATCTCAAAGTT